TCTCTAACACGATTCATTTCAAATGAAAAAGCAATATTTTAAATTTTGAGATGAATCCAAATTAATTGGTCTACGATAATCGTCATGATCAAGTTCCACATATTCATCTTCATAACGATAGAAACCAACATCTATTTTATCATTCCTTCTAATAAAGTTGTATATATTCATAGAAACCAACATCTATTTTATCATTCCTTCTAATAAAGTTGTATATATTCATTGTTGCAACAACTATTTCAACTTCTGTATAAATTGAAAATTTAGGCATGCGACGTAAAATTGCAAATCTATTTTTCCATGCGTCAAAAGTGTTTTCTATTGTGCACCTTAAACTTGAGTGATAACAATTGAATACCTCATTGTGATTATAAAATCCATAAGAATATCTAAAATCAAGAAGGTGGTAATACTCACATCTATATGGACTAATATATACCATTGGTGTTGGATAACCAACATCCACCGATTAATACATACATGATAAAATTATAAATTATAAATCATAACAAGTGATATTAATAAGTTGTAAAGAATAATATCCATACCTGGAGGACTATTCAAAAAATTCAGATTTGCATTTGTGAGAGTCTGGTAAAAAATACGAGCACCATGGACAATAGCTTTATTGGAACAAAATATGTTTGTACCATATCCCTTAGGTTTTGGTGATAACAAAGTATTTAAAGAACAATTGAGTATATTAATATATGTTCAAGTGTACATGATCATAGACTAAAATTTTTCTAAATACAAAGTTAGTTCTGATACTAAAAGAACTTTTGAAAAGAAGCTTAAGGATGCAGTTTATAAAGGATCAGAACCTGCAAAGAAGACTTTGAAGACTGAGACGCTGAAGGAAATCAACTTATGAAGATCATACTCTAAAAAAGGTCAATATCTGAACACCCAGACTTTGAAGGAAGTCAACTTGTAAAGATCATAATATGAAAAACTCTAAGTTCCAAAGACTTAACTACTGAAGACCAGACTCTGAAAAAGTCAAGTTCTGGAGACTTAACTTTTGAAGATCGGACTCTAAAGAAGTCAAGTTCTGAAGACTCAACCTATGTTATTCTCAAACTCTAAAATCAGTCAAAGCGCAATGATCAAGAAGACTCTGACATGTCACTATCAGACTCAAAGGTCAATTTTTCTTCTTCTCATCACGTGAAGACTTAAGTAGAAATCTGCCCAAGACAGTAGGAATGCAATAGATAATTCCTCTTGAAGCAAAGATTTCAAATGTCCTTTCAATGATATTAACCATTTGGAAAAATATGCCAACATCTATGATGATGCTTCTTCCAAGACTCACTTATGCGTGAAGTTTTCTTTAACAACTCTTTTATGTTCCTCTATATAAGGAGCTGAAGATTTGAATAAAGTAAACAACAACGAAACTATTGACAATAAATAGTTGTTACTCTGTCAAATCAAAAGCACAAGATTAACTTAGAACTTCATAACATTTGTATTTTGTTTACACCTCTAATTGTATATCAAGTGTAAGTTACCAAGAGTTCTTAATTTGTAAGTTAGATCGTTATAAGTTTCTTGCTTGTAAGCTTCAGAATCTGAAGTCTCTTGCTTGTGTGATTGAGAATCTGAAGTCTCTTGCTTATGTGATTGAGCATTTGAAGTCTTTTACTTGTGTATTTGAGCATTGAAAGTCTCTTGCTTGTATGCTTGAGCCATTGTAATCAAAAGTGATTATAGTGAAATTCCTTGAAAGTGCAAGGGGACTGGACTACTCCTATATTGTGGGATATATTGCTTGTGTCTCTATTTATTTCCTTTTTACCTCTGAACTTTTTTAATCCACTGCTAAACATTTAAATCTGATCCAAATTCTTAACCTTGTGTTCATAATCTAATAAGAGATATTTGGAAAAGAAATAAAAAGCTAACATAACACTACCCCCTTCTTGTGTTTTTCTCACTTTCAGTTGGTATTAAAGCAATGCATGTGCTCTAACACTTAGCAGTGGTATAGAAAAGTTCCTGAGATAAAAACATGATTAAAGTAATATTTTAAACTAGTGGTCCATCAAACAATGTTGTTAACCATTACTATAGTGCTTCTGAAAAGAATCATTATACTTTTAAACCTCCAATATTCTATGGAGACTCTATAGAGTTTGAATGGTGGAAGAGTAACATGTACACTCACATCATAGGTTTTGATTATGAGTTATAGGATATCCTTGAAGATGGCATTGATATTTCAGTAGATGGAGTGGGAATGGTGGATGACGGAAAAATCCCCACACCTGCTCAGAAGAAAATCTATAAAAAAAAACATCACATACTACGAGGATTTTTGGTAGATTCTCTACCTCATTATGAATATCTCAAGATAATCAACAAGTTTACTGCTAAAACCATCTTTGAATCCTTATGTTCTACATATGAAGGAAATTAACAAGTGAAAGAGGCTAAAGCTAATCTCCTGGTCCAACAATATGAACTATTACAAATGAAGGAAGATAAAGATATTGAAACCATGTTGTAAAGGTTTCAAGTTTTTGTATCTGGACTTCAAGTTTTGAACAACATCTATACAACTTTTAATCATGTCAAGAAGATTCCTAGGAATCTTCCTGTCAAATATAGACGAAAGGTGATAGCCATACAAGAAGATATAGACTTAAACAAGATAGGTCATGAAATTTTGATAAGAAATATCTAGAGTCATGAGATGGAGCTTGTTATACGGTATGAGAATTGGCTTTTACTGGTTTTGCATTTTTATTCGCAAATGTTGCGGTTAGCAACAGTCGATACCGACTTTTCTTTTATCCAACAAAGGAAAGGGTGAAAAGAAAATGGAAGACCTTTCGAGATTATTTTCTGAGTAAGGGGGGTAGGTTATGGAAAGGGAAGGTGTTAGCACCCTTTCTATCCATAGTTATCTACGGGCTCTTAGTTGCTAGCTCATTTTGAAAATGATTTTTTGTGTAAGTGTGTTTTTGAAGATATTTTGAAAAGACGCCTTAGTATGGCAAACTTTGTAATGTTTCTCGTTTCGGCAAGAACGTATACAAAATGTTTTTTGCTTTTGAAAATATTTAGAAAATAGTTTGTGTATGTGTGAGAAATTGTTTTGTTTGAGCAAACAACTATGAGCTATCTACTTACTCGAAAGGTTTGTTCCTTTCCTCTTTTCCTTTAGATAGTGCTATCCTACTATTAGTGAGTAGGTTTCCCTATCGTCAGATGTTTTGAGGCACTAGTGAGGGTCATCGTACAGTCACAAAGGTAACTAGTAAGATATCTTAGTAATTACCCTAGGGTTTTAAGATCATTTTACTGAGGCAACGTCGAAAGGTTTATCGAGGGACTTATGATCTTTTAAACCAAAGGGTAGCCACTAAAATCCCTTACATTCGAGAATCGTGACTGTTTATTCCGAAGGCAACAAGTGGAGAAACCTTAGAGGTGCGCGTGTGAGAGTGTGTTGTGTTTCAATTATTTCTCTTAGATTTTAGGTTTGCTAACGTTTACTTTTAGTCTTATCACGCAATCCTATTAACATACATCTAACAGTTAAAATATGTACAGAAAAATAAAAGTGCGAGAATTAAAGCTACGCTATTACAAGGCTTCGGGGTGGGGGAATTACAAATCCAAACGGAGAAGTAAAAATCCTAAGTTCAAATTATTACAACCCTTTTGTAGATACATTAATATAAGATAAAGCGAAATTTAAAGTGGGCGCGCAAATATGCAGAGCGAAGTAAACCCTAAAATATCTCTCTACACTTAGTATAAATTCTTTGTCATTTTTGTTAAGAAAATATTTAAATTGAATTTAAACTAATTTTAATAAAATAAAAGGTGATAAATAAAATTAAATTAAAATTAATCAAGAGGGAATTAATTCTAACATTTTTGTATATTTTTACTTGAAAAAATAGAAAAGACTTTAAATAAAAAAAACCTAATTCTAATTGGTTTTAAATTAATCAAAAATAATTAAATAAATTAATCACTTAATTTAGAAAAAAATTAATTTAATTAAGAAAAAAACTAAATCTACTTTTTTATTTATTTTATGTTTGATTTTATGATTAACCAAAAAAAGATTTTAAAAAAATTAAGACAAATGAAAAAAAGAAAAATAAAAGGAAAAGTTGGGCCCGACATAAGCAACAATAGGGGGTATGAATTTGGAAATTCGTTAGGCCCAAACAAAGGCTGAGCCCAGAACTGAGCTAGATTTGGTGAGGATGGGTCTTTGAAGGTTCATGGTGAGGCACGCATCTGAGGCGCTGGATCTAACTCCACTGAGATCTGATGTCCAGGATAGTGGGATGTATAAAGCGCGTGCTAGATGTCCTCGTACTGAATCGGCAAACAGAAAATGTGAGAAAATAAATCCAAAACCTGGGGATCGAACCTAGGTTCTTCACTCTTGCAAACGCACGCTTCACCACTCAGCCAACCTGTTAATTTGTTATATTAAATAAAACAAAATAATATAATATAAATGCAGGCCAAATCCATTTCAACTAACACGCGCACTTTCAGTTGGCCCTGATTATTTGAATGAACGAATCACAGGTTTGGATTGTGACATGCTGGCTCTGGGAAGGTCAAACCATTATCCACGGCGGTTGACACCCTTCTTCTCCAGCGACTCCAAAATCCTAACCTGCGAAACAACACGATTCAAGACCAAAAATTTGGCCTACCCCCCCCCCCCCCCCTAAACCCTAGGCTTCAAATTTAGTGGTGGTGGTCGTTTGGCTCGAATGTATTTGTATTCAGAGATGCGGAGCAAACAACTCCTTATGCCCTAACAATGGTGCAATCTAATTCCTGCGTAAAATCTCACATGTAACACGTTGATCATGCTTAAATGATGTATATGAATTAATTCCAGAGGTTAGTATCCATTGAAACTGTAAATAATGAAAGATATGATTCTTACCAAAACATACCAGCCGACAATTCTACGTGGGATGTTCTAGGGCGTTTGAGATCAAGCTGGGAGTATGGATGGCTCCCTGGAGCCTTCAGGAAGACAATATGAGGATTGGTTTGGCCTGGGAGCAACTGGATCGTATGCTGTGAGTTTTGATAACTTTTAGATTTTTTGTGAAATTTGTATGACTAGCTTATGCAACTTATGCGTGTCCTGATGCTTCGGGGTTGTGGTGTTTATATAGAGGACGAAAGAGTTTAGCAAATATGGGAAGAAATCAAGTCATGAAGGTCATGATAAAGTTAAAGATCCAAACTTGAAAACTTGCCATTTTTTGAGATATTTCATGCCATTTTGGCTTGTGCACGAAATTGGCATGTTGACAGGCCATAACATATTGTATGGGCTCTTAGAGAAACAAATCATATGCTGGCCCATTGGTTTTATATTTTATTTAATTTATTTTTAAACTTGTTTGAATAAAAATCCAAAATAAATAAAATAAAAATCAAGCTCATGCATGGATGGGTTTATAGGCCCTTATATATGACTTGAACATGTTTGGTCCCTAAAAATTAGGTCCAATAACTTAAAATCACAAATTTTCCCAATTGAGATTTCATGCATTTCTTGAAAATTGTCCAACTTGTGCAAAACATAACTTGCTCAACTTTTATCCTTTAAAGATGATCTTGAACTTCTTGGAAAGTCCAAGATGTCCTATTAAATCTCTTTTTTGATCAATTTTGCATTTGAAGACTTCATCTTGATGTAAATTGTCTTGACAAAAAATGTCTTTTTTGTTGACTTTCTGAAAATGACCTATAATGTATGAGCTCATATTTTTCCAATGATGCCTTTTTTGGACTTGAGAATAAAAGCAAAGTTGTAGAAAATTGAATTTTCTTCAAAATAGGCTTTGGTTGGGGCAAAATGGATGAAGCATGTGAAAGTTATGTCTGGTCAAAGTTCAATTGACTTTTCCTAGGAAACTCTAATTTAGCAATTTATTATTCTTGATAATTTAGGAGCATTCCTTGAGGAATCATCATCAGCCATTGATCAAATGATGAATATCACTTCAAAATGTTAATGTTGCACTACAAGAAAATCACCATTTAGCTGCAATTTTTTAGCGTCGGTCCCAACACTGACACTTATAGCATTGTTATTACGGCGACATAAGTCGACGCTAACTAAATAAAGCCATTTATTTTATTTTTTATTAGGACGTTGATCATAATGTTGGCCAAAGCCGACGCTAAAACTTGCTCTTTATAGTTTCATTTCTCCATCAATTTCCTTTGCCTCCTTATTATTTATTGTATTAAATAATATATTCATTTTTAATAGTGGCGACGGTTCGGGCCGCCGCTAGTATTAGTGCCAAACTTTCGTTTGCCTCCTTATTAACTACTATGTTTGCCTCCTTATTAAGTATTGTGTTAAATAAATATTTTTTTAATAGTAACGACGAGTTTGGCCGACGCTAATATTGGTGCTAAATAATTTATTTGCCTCCACCAATTTTGTTTGCCTCTTTTTTATTAATTGTATTAAATAATTATTAATTTTTAATATTAGCGACGCTGTGTACCGATGCTAATATTAGTGCCAAATAACTTTATTTTGCTTGCCTTCTTTTTTATTTATTGTATTAAATAATTATTAATTGTTAATATTAGCGACCCTTTTGGCCGACGATACTATTAGTACCAAATTATTTCATTTCCCCACCAATTTGATTTATTTTTTATTATTTCAAACTATTTGTTAGTAGATTATTTTTAACTATAAAATAAAAAACCAATATATTAAACTAACTAAAATTAAATTTATAAAATAAAATCAATATTATAAATTAGTAAATTAAAATAAAACTAACTAAAACTAAATTTATAAAACAAAGTATAAATTTTATAAAATCAAATCAAAAGTATATTAAAATCAAATTTATAAAATAAAATCAATATTATAAATTAGTAAATTAAAATTAAAGTTTAACTTATAAAATAAATCAAAACTATGTATTTATAGAATGATAAAATAAAACGAAAAAATGAATTAAAATCTATTTAGTAAAATAAAATAAAAATAAAATAAGTAAAATATTATAAATTAGTAATTAAAATATAATCAAGATCTATTTATTAAAATGTATTTAGTAAAAATAAAATAAAAACATAAAGTAATTAGTAAATGTAATTAGAATTATAAAGAAAAACAAAAGAAAGAAAATCTTTTCAGCTTCTCATTGTTTCATCTCCAGCTTTTCAGCTTCTCTTTTCGATTCAGACAGAAATCTCTATTTCAGTGTTTAACAATCATTTCAGGTTGAAATCTTTCATTTCATCGTTTCATCGTTTAATCTCCAGATTGCAATCGCATCTCAAAATCATTTCATCATTTCATCGTTTCAAGTTGCAAGGAATTGATTCTCAAAATCACTTCAGGTTGCAATCGCTTCTCAAAATCATTTCAGGTTGAAATCTTTTCATCATATTTCTTTTCAAAATCGTGTTTTCGATTCTTCATTTCAATTCTTCATTTCGATTCGTCCGTTAGATACTGATTGCTCCGATTTTGATTTTGTGTTTTGCAATGATCACTTTTTTCTGAATTGCTCTGTTGTTCTGCTGTGAATTTGTGAATTTAGATTCAGTAGTTAATTAGCCCTAATTCCTAACCTAATTCCTAACCTAATCTAGTTTTTCTGTTAATTTTTCTGTTAATTCAGTAGTTAATTATCCCTAATTCAGTACTGCCAAGACTATCACTCAAAGTCATAGAACCATGTACATTTATATAACATTTGGTGTCAAATTTGAATTAAATCGCTTGCATAATTTGTCGCAGGTCCATAATCGGTTGCTCCACCACTGTGTTTCTCTTCTTATAAAGCCAATTTCAAGGTAAAATCATTATATCTCTTTTTTTATCGTGATTTGCAACTATAAGCATCATGAGGATTTTGAAATTCATGATTTGGTTAAGCTTAGATTGTGTATAAGGGGTAGTATCGTACCAAGCATCATGATTTGGTTTTGAATGTGGATTAAGTGAAGTTTGGATAATTACGGTTTCAATTTGGTTTGATTTAGTTTGGGATTTTCTATTAGGTCGGTTCGATTTTGAACAACCCTCCTCCTTCTCCTCCACGGGAAATATGACCCATGACCCCCTTATACCAGGTGTTATATAGTTGACCTCATTTTTAGTTTTTTTAAACATATAGAAACTCTCCCTCTTTCAAGTCTGTCCAAATTTGTTTAATTATTAGGATGTAATTTTGTACTACCTCCTTTAAATTATTATCCTTTCTTCCACCCCTATTTAGTACAAGTTCCTGTTTTTCTTCTTTAAAAACCAAATTTATTAAAGGGGCATAAGAAATACCACTTAAGAACACCAAAACCAATACACTTTAACCTACTGTCATGACAGTACCTCTATCTCAAACCAATAACAACATCAATCCATCCAACATGAATCAAAACAACAACAGTCACACTTTAAGCACCAGCCCCTAACCACGCTACATCTCCAACACACATTATTGTAGGTCCCTCATTGGTTCCCTGTTGAGTGCTCACTGAAGACTTAAAGATGCCTCATTAAAAAGGAGTTTGCCCTCACTGAATTGGTTCCCTGTTGAGTGCAAACTTAAAGATGCAAGGAAATTAAGTCAGTTCAGTTATAGATCAATGAAGCAGAAATTTGACCAGAAAAGGAATTATCTGATAATCCTAGATCTGAAAGTTTGGTCAAATTTGCTAATGAAAAAGGAAAAGAACCTGTTAGATTATTTCGTGCTAAGCTCAAGAAAGTTAGATTTGTACATAGACCAAGATCAGAAGGGACTTTAGAGTTTAAAAAATTAACACTGAGATCAAGATGCACTAGCTCCTTTAGTTGACCTATGGAAGAAGGAATTTCACCATGGGCTGAAATGGTGTTCAGTTAAAAAATTTGAAGCCTAGACATCAATCCTATCTCTGATGGAATAAGACTATTAAACATGTTATTACCGAGACAAATATCTTTGAGATTTGAGAGCATGCACAAGTTGGATGGCAGTTTTCCTTCTAGCTCACAGTTTGTGAGGTCGAGATATTCAAGTTTGCCCAAATTATCGTACATGGATTCTAGTATTGTACCATTCAATTTGTTTTGAGAGAGGTCAAGGTATGTTAAGTTCTTGCACTCAAACATGAAACTTGGAGTGTTACTAGTGAGTTCATTTAGTTCTGAACTAAGGTAATTTAAGGAAGGCATGTTTAAATATAGAGACCAGTTAAGGGAAGATACAAAATAGTTGTATCCAAAGTCAAGGTAACTTACCTTGGGGAGAGTTGTGAGCTGATAGGGAATGGTACCATTGAGACTGTTGTTGAAAAAACTAACATGTTGAAGTTCCCTTAGCTGGCCTAGCTTAGAAGGGAGTGTGCCTTCAAGTGAGTTGTTTCCCAAGTCCAAGAAACTGAGTTTGAAGAGGCTGCCAATTGTTGATGGTATTGATCCATCAAATCTATTTCTATTGAGGTTGAGGAGGGTAAGGTTTGGAAGAGAATTAAAATCCAAGTCAGCGAGTTTTCTGCTGCTATTGGCATTAGACAAGTTTATCTTTGAGGCAGTTGTATTTGTGTTGTCATAAACGACAGCATCCCAATTGCAAAGGTTGATATGGTTGGTGAGTAACCATGAAAGAAGAGGAGGTGATAGACTCTATTTGACAAGAGCTTCTGCTTCTGTTTTTAGTGATGCTGAAATTTTCAATGGAAGCAAAGATATAACTAGTATATAAAACAGAAAACCAATAGCTTTTTTATGATTTGTCATGTCTATGTGTACATGACCTTTTATGAAAATATTTTAGTATGATGATTAGCTTGAGAATGTTGTTGAGGGAATTATCACCAAATTTAAGCCAAATTATTATTTATTTTTTATTATTCACTTTCAATATATCGTATGTAGTTAGTATATGATTCAATGTATGTAGTTGGGTTTTCATGTGAAAATGGCGGAGAAGTAGCAGATTTACGAGTACTAGGTTTTTTTTCCAACTTATGTGTTTGATCAAATGCTTTATCCATTTGCTACTCGATAAGGTTTAATTAGTAGCTTGGTGAATATTTTGTTTTCAGTGGTAATTTATCTATACCCTGTAGTTGGTGGTGTTGGTTTTTCTATTAAGGGTATAAACTTTACCTTTTGTTTTGGTCACTGGTTAATGATGTGGACCTGTATTGGTTAACAATAATTTATGTTTAAACCTAAGAATAGAAGAGAAGAGAGACATGCTTACTTTGATTTGTTTAAAGTAAGACACGCAATTTCCTTTTTACTGGAGTATGATGATAATGTATTTTTTTTTTTTTACAGTTTAATCAACAATATTTCTCTTTTGGCAGTCTTTTGTGCAATGGGAATCGTGTGCTGACGCCAAAATACAAGATTTATTTCATAAAGCTTGTGGTAAGAGAATATCTGATATATTTGGTAAGATTAGGAAAAAGGGGGGAAAACCGAAATGGATGGGTGAAAAGGTTTATGCATATCTTCTTGATGGGTGGAAACTGGAAGAATTCAAAAAGGTCTCTCGACAAAATAAGACTAATCGAGCATTAACCAAAGGGGGACAGTCCATACCACGGGACGTAGAGCTCATCGTGATGTTGCTATAGAATTGGTGTGTATTCTATTTGTAATTTCAACGCGTCAACATATTTATATTCGATATTCATCGTAACCATATATATGTTGTCTTTATTTATAGGAGAAAAAGTTGAGCCGACCACCAAATCTAGACGAGCTCTTCATGGTCACCCACAAAAAGAAGAATGGGCGGTGGGTTGGCCGCGATGCAGAGAATACACATGTAAGACCTTTTTTTATGCCTTAACATAATTTCATATTTGTGTCTAGTTTTTGCATATTGCATTTATGCTTCCATATTGCTTCCATACCGCACCAGTGCACTCATGAGATTGTGGTTGAGTGGTTAGTGGAATTTCGCCTTCTAAGTTGTTGAAAGACAAGTTCGTGTAATTAAGAAACGTCAAATTTGAAATGGTGTCACTGAAACTGAAGGATATCATTAAGCAGTGGGAAACAACTGGAAGAATTACATTGAGGGTGGGAAAATGTATTGCTTATAAAAGAAATTACACATGCTCCAACCTACAACCAGGTCCCCGAGTATGCCTCTAGTATGCCTACAATTATATAGGGTAAGAACTAATCTGTATAAGGCATAGGAAGAGCTGATAAAGGACAAAATGAACATAGTGAAAATTGAGGAAGTGAAGAGATGCAATGAGGAAGTGATTAAATGGATCACTTTAGAGGAAATTGATCTAAGCCAAAGGCTATAATTGACTGGCTAAAGCATAGAGATGGGAATAACACTTTTTTCCCCTCTTTGAAGTCCAAACTGAAGCAAACTTCCATTAAAACCCTCACTAAAAGTGATGGGACAATGTTGACTGATAGAAAAGATATTGAAAATGAAGTGTTGGATTATTATGGCCACTTGCTGGGAAATCTGAGAGTAACATGAATGGCATTGATATTGTAGAAATGAGGGAAAGAAAACAATTTTTTAATGCTGATATTCTTGATCTCTTTGCACCAGTATCATAAACAGAAATCTACAAGTCCATAAAAGGCATCCGGGACCTGCAAAGCCCTGGTTTAGATGTTTATGGAGCCATGTTTTTTAAGTTAACTTAGAGCATTGTTAAGCCTGATGTGGTTGCAACAGTCAAAGAATTTTTTGAGGTTGGAAAGATATACAAGACCGTTAGCAATGCACTGATTACCCTGATTCCTAAGTCCACAATAGCAAAAACAATAACTGACTATAGGTGTATATCATGTTCTCTACAATCTACAAAATCATTTAAAAGGTGATTACCAACATATTAATTAAGGTATTTGGGAATATAATAGGAGGTTTGAAATAGGAGGTTTGAATACTAATAGTAAATCCTGAAAATTACCTTGACCAATGTTGTTTGGAGTAAATGCTGTTAGATTATTTCCTGTAGTGTAATAGGAAGCTTATAAAATAGTAAAATCAAAGATAAGTACTTGTATAACTTTATGGACTGCTACAGGAAGCTTATTGTCTTATTGTTTCAATTATCATATATCTAAGTGTACTTGTATAATCAAATACTAGTACTTGTATAACTTTATGAAATGCTACAGAAATACTACAATTATCATGTATCTTATTGTTTCAGGAAGCCTATTGGAATGTCCTAATTATTATATTGTGTTGTACCGGATGATTATGTGAATCGTCTAACACAAGCCACCCAAAATGATCATAATGTGGATGGGTCGGAAAAGCTACAATTATGGAAAGAAGCTGCCGGCGGTAAGTCACGAGGCTGATGTTATGGAACTGCCCGAATGGAAATCAACATACAATATGGAATGTCTTACTTGACACAAGTGGCCATTTCAAACTCGAATAGAGAAGCGGAGAGCCAAGCCATTGAGATGGCTAGAGAAGAGGCTTCTAGAGCATGTGAAGAGGATGCATTAGTTAATGCGCATGCAAGTGAAGCGAATGCGAATGCAAGAGAAGCTATGGCTGAGATAGCAGAATTGAAAAGGAAATTTGAAGAATTTCATAAATAATTGTTTTCTTGGCAGTCGGGTCAGGCGGGTACTTCCACTGTTCCTTCTAGTGTCCATCCTAGTGCTAGTAATCATTATGATGATGACTCTGAAAGTCAGTCATTGGATCTAGAGGGAATGAGTGATGGATGTTGACATTGTCTTTTTCATAGTTTTAGAATTTGTTTTGTGGATTTTCACTAGTTTGATATTTTGTGTTGGTATTTTGATGTAACTTTGACATCTCTATGTAACAACAATGTGGATGAGAACTAGTTTGATATATTGTGTCAATATTTTGATGTAACTGTGACATGTTAATTAATGTAGCAATATCGTAGATTTTTGGAAGTTTATTATCTTGTGTTGAGGTTTTTGTGATAATATATCAATGAATAGTTTGAATTACAAAAACAGGTTTAAATTTCAAGTAGAATTAATTTGGATTTAAATAGGTATATATAATATAAAACAGAACAGCTAGAATAAATAAATAATAGCATCGGCTGAAACTGACGCTTCTAAACATCATAATAGACCGTTAGCATCGATTTTGAGCAACGCTACATTGCACGACTTTAGCTATGTAGCCTTCTTTATGACCTACGCTGGACCTTAGAAATAGTGGCCCACAGAACCGACGCTAATACATTGAAGATGATATTTAAGTGACCTAATAAACTGACACTATTTGAGAAAAAAATATTATGGTGGCCTTCTAAACCGCCACTAAATAAATGTTAGCATCAACAACAACCGACACTAAATGAAAACAATTCTATAATGTAGCGTCGGTTTCGATAAGATAGCATCTCTTGAGCGTTGTTATAGTCGAGGCTATTTGTAGCGAAGGCTGGCCGTTATGGTTTGTTTCCACCTTTAGCGTGTCCGTCCCGACCCCGACGCCAAGCTGACGCTAAAGGCATTTAGCGTCAGTTTTTTACTTGTTAACGATGGTTTTTGGCCGACACTAAAATGCAAGTTTATTGTAGTGTTGACCAAATATCTTGAATTTTGACTGTATATTGGCCACAATTGACTTTTGACCTAGTATAGTTGATTTTCAGACATTAGAGCCATTTGACTGAGCAAACTTGTAATGCAAGGCATGAAAATTGGCATGAGCATTCTTGAGGACACATTAGGAACCATGGAAATCATTTGAGACCTTTGCAACTCAAACTTCTTTGAGGAACTCAAAACCCTAGTTGTAGACCGCTTGCTTAGGAGGAGGTTTGACTGGTAAACCCTTGAGTATCTTGAGAACCTTTGAAAGCATGTCTTGAGAAAAAATGGGAGAGAAAATTTTGGGGTATAACAGCTGTCCCTATTCAATCTTCTTAAACTTGAAGAGTTAGATTGGTATGTCCGCCATTCGTGACTTGAAGGTAGAAGATGATTGAACACTTAAGTTCCCAAAAATTTGCACTCGATTGTGCAAGAAAGAATGTTGTTGGTTGATTGTACCGGGAATGGGCTTATAGATGCCGTTTGGAGAGGTGATGGAGAGTCGTCGGAGATGGGCTTATAGATGCCATTCAAAGTAACTGTTGACTTCAAACTGGAAGAAGTATTATAATAAATCTATGGTCGATTTAATTTGAGCCATGAGATGTCTAGGCTTGTGTGCAACTTTAAGAAGTATAAGAATAAATCTATGGTTGGTCTAGTTTGAGCTAGAAACTATATGCGACCGTCTTCAACTGGAAGAAGTATTAGAATAAATCTTTAGTCGATTTAATCTGAGCCAGGAAAGGTCTATATTTTCCTTCAATTGGAAGAAGTATTAGAATGAATCCATGGTCGATTCACTCTGATCCAGAAGAGGTCTTTACTTGTCTTTAACTGGAAGAAGTATCAAAATAAATCTTTGGTCGATTTAATTTGATCCAGAACAAGGATCTGCTGGAAGAAGTATCAAAATAAATCTTTGGCCGATTTACCCTGATCCAGAAGACAACTATGTCAGACATCAACTGGAAGAAGTATCAGAATAAATCACTGGTCGATATAATCTGAGCCAGAAGAGGTCTCTGTTTTCTTTAACTGGAGGAAGTATCAGAATAAATCACTGGTCGATTTAATCTGAGCCAGAAAAAGGTCTACTGGAAGAAGTATCAGAATGAATCCATGGTCGATTCACTCTGAGCCAGAAGAGGTCTTTACTTATCTTTAACTGGAGGAAGTATCGGAATAATTCATTGGTCGATTTAATCTAAGCCAGAAAAAAGGCCTACTGGAAGAAGTATTAGAATAAATCAATGGTCGGTTTAATCTGAGCCAGCGACTATGTACGACCGTCTTCAGTTGGAAGAAGTATCAGAATAAATCATTGGTCAATTTAATCTGAGCTAGAAGAGGTCTCTATATCTTTAACTAGAAGAAGTATCAAAATAAATCATTGGTCGATTTAAACTGACCCGAAATAATATCTACTGGAAGATGTATCAGAATAAACCATTGGTCGATTTACTTTGAGCCAACAAATATTTATGCTTATTTTTATTCGGAAGAAGTATCAGAATAAATCTTTGGTTGATTTATCTAAGCCAGAAAATGTCTATGACCGTGTTTCACTAGAAGAAGTATCAGAATAAATCATTGGTCAATTTAATCTGAGCCAGAAGACGTTGTTTCTGATAAGACTGCCTGGTCCTACAAGTAATTGATGATGTTGGTATGTTGATATATATTTTCTTGAAAAGGTAAAGGGTTAGCTGTATGTAATGTCATGATGTATGAAATGCATTGCATAATGATGTTCTCAAAATAAATGAGATTGTGTTATATGTATATGCTATGACATTTGTAAATGTTGTATGAATATGAGTGTATCAGTTGCTCTTTGTAGTGTCATTGAACTGGGGAAAATAAATCCCTGACTACTGTCAGAGATGAAGAATGATATTACACACTATTTTTTGAGGTTAAATGGCAGAGGATTCCTGCCTTCTGTCTGACTATATTCCACGAGAGATTTTGATTTCTGCTTGAGGATAGAAATCTTCAAGGGAAGTTGATAGCCTGTCATGGGTTATCTACACTTTGACTGGGGATGGAAGAAATAATAACCCTCTGATGTGATTAGAAAATATTCTGGAGGTGGTTATCTTGATCAATCCTGCTGGAGAAAATAGTTCTGTTGGAAGATTTTAACAAATTGGAGAAATAAACTCCACTAGGGGATGCTCTTTCGTAGCTAGAGAAACAAACTCTACTGGGGGAAAGAAACTTCTCAAACTGCTTGGGGACTTTATGGAACTCTTTTGGGGAATTCTCCAATATGCTAGGGAAACGATTTAAAATCTTTATCTGTTGAGAAATGCCAGAATATCTGAAATCATTAGGCTATATGCTAAAAATATGGCGGTGACCTGCGGAAAATGCCCCTGTTTTTGTACCTACTGAGGAATGTACCCTTGTTGATGATGAATTTTGTGAAAATAGTCCCCTAGGGGTTTTTTGTGGGGATTTACAAATGACTTTTCGAAGTTGACTAAACTTTTAAAGCCTTTAGTAATTGTCTTTCTCTAAATGGTAATCATATTCAAATGCATATGTTCATTTAAAATAATCATTGGACGTTTTTGCAAACAAAAAAGAAAATAAAAAAACAAATAGTTTTGGACTTTAAAAGAGGAATTTTGTATTGATTTGAGAAAGTCTGCATATAGAAGGAGTCTTTGTACAAGGAAACGAACATCCTAATAAGAGAAATGTTATCGTAAAAAAGGAGAAATATACAACGTGGTACACAAAGAAAAAAAAGCTATGTGAAATAATCCCATTGGGTTTCAATTATGTTATTGGCTTTATATCTTTGAGTGTCTCATCACTTTGCTTCTCGGAAGAAGCTGATTGGATTGATCCGTACCATTCGAACTTGTCAATTTGATAATGAAGTCTGGCTGTAAGGTGATCCAACGGGACATAGTCATACGCTTTTAATCCCTAATTTTTTCCTGGACCGCCCTTTCAGGTTTTCAGTCCACCGGGATACCCTTTTTTGCCCTAGTTGCCTTTTCAGGTTTTTGACTTGCCGGGTGTACAAAAGTTTCATATATATATATATATATATATATATATATATATATATATATATATATATATATATATATATATATATATATATATATATATATATATATATATATATATATATATATATATATATATATATATATATATATATATATATATATATATATATATATATATATATATATATATATATATATATATATATATATATATATATATATATATATATATATATATATATATATATATATATATATATATATATATATATATATATCCCTAATTTTTTCCCGAACCCTTTTGGTCCTCCAGGATGCCCTTATTTTTTCCTAGGTCAGTCAATCTAGTGGGTCTCTTTTCATGCGTAGTATCTTTTAACTATGTCCGTGTTTACAGGGTGCGGAAGGTCGTCACCGCCCATAGTGGTTAATATCATGGCTCCACCATAAAATATACTCTTGATCACAAATGGTCCTTCGTATGTTGGAGTCCACTTGCCCCTGAGATCACCTTTTGGCAGGATGATGCGCTTGATTACTAGGTCACCAACCTGATAAACCTAACATCTGACCTTCTTGTTAAAAGCTTTGATCATACGTTTTTGGTACATCTGACCATGACAAACATCCCCAAGCCTCTTCTCGTCAATCAGGTTCAATTGGTCAAGCCGAGTCTGAATCCATCCGTCTTTGTTTAAACTGGCATCCTTCATGATTCTCAAGGAAGGGATTTGGACTTCGACGGGTAAAACAACTTCCATACTGTATACGAGAGAAAAAGGGGTTGCCCCTGTTGATGTGTGCACTGAGGTACGGTAGCCATGAAGAGCGAAGGGTAAAATCTCATGCCAGTCTTTATATGTTACCGTCATTTTCTGTATGATCTTCTTTATATTCTTATTGGCGGCCTCCACAACGTCATTCATCTTTGGCCGGTAAGGAGAAGAGTTATGATGTTGGATCTTAAATTGCGTATAAAGC